TCATAGCATTAAATTTTAAACGTAAACTTCTATTTTTTGAAATTCTGCCATTGGCATGAAAAGTTTCATTTTCTCTTTTCTCCCAGCCACTCTGGCCACTCCCCTTCAGCATCCTTTCATCATTCTTTTTCTTGCTTTGTCCCTTTAACTGCAATATTCTCTAAGACTTACTCTTAGCCCTTTTCTCTTCTTTTTCTATGCAGTTCCTCCAAGCACTTTGATCCTCATCCATGCCTTCAACTACTCTTCATAAAGTAAGCACTCAGAAATCTGGATCAACAGGCTACACAACTCTTGTGATGCTCCAGGATCCTATATCCAACTGCCTTCTAGATGCCTCCATCTTGCCAATGATACACCCTACAAGCACATTAAACACATGTCCAACCTGAACGTGTCATCTTCCCCCTCAGACCTGCTTCCTCTTCTCTTTTCCCTCTCACTAACCAGAAACCTGGGAGTCATTCTAGTGCCCTCGCTCTCTCATTCCTTTCATATTCAAGTAGTCACAAAAATCAACCAATTCTCCTTCCTCCTAAATATTTTTCCTAAACATTCTCATTTTTCTATACCCACTACTTCCACCCTTGTCTGATCTCAAACTTCCTTTATGCATACTAATTGCACTGTCCACTCTGACTTCCAATCTTGCTACATCCCCACTCCCCACCCCACCTCACCCCCAATCTACCAAACACACTGCTGTCACAATGATCTTTCACATCACTCACAATTCTTCAGTAGCTCACTACCACGAACAGGTTAGGAAGCATGCCCTGACTTAGCTATCCAGTTTCATCTCCTTTTACTCTTGACTTTGCCCTTCACACTGTAACATAACAGACCTACGTTTAGTTTCCAGAACACACTGTGCTCTCATAACGCCATATAAATACTCATGCTATTAGCTCCATCTGGAAATCTTCTCTGCTACTTACCAAACTCCCCACTCCTACTCAGTTTTCAAGTCTCAGCTCAAACACAACCACTGCTAAAACCCTTCCCTGGCATTCCCGTCATGGATCAACAGCTTCTGCTAAGCTTCCTTTGCACCCATACATATCTCCATTACAACAAACAGCACACAATATTTGAACTGTTGGTCAAGATGTCTACTGTCCTACTAGACTATAAGCTCCTTGCTCAAGGACAGTGATTTTTAATCTTTATATCTTCAGCACTAGTTCAACGAACATAGCATATGGTAAAAAAAAATTTTTTAATTAATGAACTGTAGGCCAACTACAGGGCAAGAAGATCAACTAGACTTTGAGCATAGAAAAAATCCAGATCTTAAGGAAGTGCAGATATCTATTATTAAGTCCCACCCATTAAAAAAGAACAGAAATATATGGTTATTCAAGTATCAAGGTAACAAAGAAAAAAACTTACTGGACTAAGCAGGCAATACGGAGATAAGAGTCTCCAATGGAGCAACTGACAAAAGATCGACAGAAAGCCCAGAGATAAAGGTGGTTCATTCTATGAGTCAAGTAAATCATGGACCGAAGTCCATGGACTGAGCAAAAGATGGCACTTTCTTCTCTCAGTTCACCACTCCTCCCCTTTGCCCTTATTCTCCATACTATTTTCCCAGTTCCATTACCAAGTCCCAGATCCCATGGGGAATTCTCCCTGGTTGGAGTCACCAGTCCTGGCCAGTGAGTTAGTCTGGGGTGTAAGAAAAACAGGGAGTCTTTATTCTTGTGGCCAGGACGTAGAGGAAAGAAAAGAAAAATATTTACTGAGGACCTATTTTGTATTAGATATTGTGCTACTTTACAAACACTCACTAAATCTCACAGTAATCATGAGTAATTACCCCATTTTGCATGAGGAATCTGTGTCCAAGGCCACACAGCTAGGCAATGAGAAAGCCTGCCCCAGAACCCGGGAATGACAGCCTCCTATTTCTACACCCTTCACCACCTCAAAATGGAGATGAATGTGGCCCAGCCATTCCAGGTTGGAACCCAGAATACATTAGTCTCTAAAACACTATTATAAATGTTGGTTAGAGTCTACAGTACCAGTAATCCATAATAAGCAGACGATGGGTTATAAAAGCTTTGGGGTCCTGACCTGGAAATCTAAACGCTATTTATTTTATTCCTATAAGCACATTGTTCAACATTACAAACAAAAATGAACTTGAAAATGAATTTTTGGAATACAGTGGGTTCTTAAGTGAGGCTTTTCTTTAAGAATATTTTCTTCCACAAAAAATCACCAAGAATAGAAACAATTCTGCTTTATTAAGTTGTAAGAACAATGACACTAGAAGACACCTGTGGGAAATGTGCTTATCTGACCAGGCACTCATTTACAGTATGCCACCCTTAGAATAAATCATACTAAACCCTACAGACCAGAGCTTAAGATAGAAATGCCATAAACTACAGCAGCACAGCTGATATGCTTATAATCTACTGACAAAACATACTCCTTAGCAAAGTAAAACCAGATGTCTGGTGTGAAATCAGATGTCTGTGAACTTGTCTTTCTTGGCTTCCAGAGCAGTATTAAGATACACTAAATACACAGCTTAGCTGCATATTAAACCTACAACTTGGCAAAATCATGACAGTTTGGACATGAAGCATCAGCATTTTTATTGTAATTCTTATAAACCACAGATATTTCTGAAATAGAAATCCTAAGTTTAAGCACCCTGCTAAATGTGGTAATATGTCTTTCTCACTTTGGGAACAGTATCAGAGCTTTTTAAACACATTATAAAAACTCTTTCCCCTCACTTTTCAGGCTGACACTCTTTAGGCAGGGCTGTGGAATAATCTGACGGGGAATTCAAGCCACATCAGGTGTGAGCCCTTGCCCTAGAAATTCTAGGATCAGATATAACAGGTGATGAGTGTGAAAATGCCAATACCCAAGAGGCTTAGCACCTTTACGAAAGTTTAGTAGTAAATTGCTCTCCACAATCACAAGGAAGATCAAAAGAAAGTGATGGGTGACCTGACAGATGAACAGGAGGGACACTAACAGTATCTATATGCCAAACAGTTCTTTACACATTCTTTTAATATACTCATTGTTCTATTTTGACAGATAAGAAGTTAAGGAGCAGAGTTTTAACTGGCCCAAAGTGGAAGAGCTAATAAAATAAGAGCCAGGATCAAGCCCACGTCTAAAACAGCATAAAAGGCATGCTACTTCTACATGAGGATTTGGGGTGCAAATGAGGAGTGGGGGTAAATAGCCAAGAATATGGAAGTAAAAGTCAGAAATTTACAATTTTACCAAACAGTAACATACACACATACAACAAAAAGTTGAAGAAATGAACACAAATTGTTGACAGTGGTCCTCTGAGAATGACTTCATTGAGACTCACTTTCTACCTTTTAAATCCTTGCAAATTTTAATTTTAAATAACTTTTTTTTCACTTTATATAACCTTTATAACCAGAAAAAGACACCCTTTTTCACTTTGATTAAAAAATGAGGTTAAACGTACAGAAACCCATGAACGGCCTACTTTAGTATTTATTTTCCTGAACGCATCATCCCCAATATTCTCCATGCTTTCTAATCTTAGGTCATTTTTATGAAACAATTCAAAAAATTATCCTCATCTAATTATTACACTGGTACAATACACGTGTTACACTGGAAAATGACTCTAACACTATTCATTACAGGACACAAATCACCATGGTCAATCATCCTTGAAAGCTTGTTACTGAAAGTACCAGGAAGGCAGAAAAACAACACTGTTCTCCCACAACACCATAGAGACCTGCAAACCACTAAGAGGAGTAATACAGGGAAGGTCTTGTACATTAACACTTAACTATTCAGAAAATCCGCAGAAAACTGGTAAAAGGCCTGCCCCAAAATGGCCATCTCCAACAAAGTCTCATCATTCTCACCATCCTACTTATATCAAGGTGCTCAGCACTTTGGTAGGAAAAGATAAAAATCCATTGAATCAGTGAATGAACCCATCATCAATAAACAACTATTTTCTGGTTTTTCACAAAGTAAATTATGTGATCATCTGCCACTTGAGCACAAACTAGTAAGAAAGAGGGTTCAGGGCACAGGCGGCCAACGTCAAGATGCCATGGAGGGCAATTCTAGTTTTCCATCCAAGAATGGAGTTTACCACGTTCTTGCTTGTGGCTAACCTGAATTTTAATAATAAAAAAAAAGTTTGTTTATATGTGCCATACAGGATGCATAAGGAATTCCCAACCTTCTGAGAGGAGCTGTGCTTCACGTCACCAAGATGAGGGGAGGGAGAAGCGGTGTTTTTGTGGAGTGATGGCAAAGTCTCAGAGAAGATCCATTAAAAGAGACCACAATGAAAACCACAACAAACCTCCAAGGACTTCAAAGTGCTATTTGGTAACTTTTTTCAGAAGTGGATACAATGCTGGTGAGGGGGTATCCAATCGAAAGTCAAGAGAGAAAGGCCCAGCCTGGTAATTTCTCCCCCTCAAAACACCCTCCTCTATAAACTTGAAAAAAGATCCCAAAATAACTTCAATTCAACACTTGTGATACTGCTGTTAACTTTATGCTTTGGGGTCCTAAAGGATTTTTACAAGAGTCCCCTTTTAAAATATAAAGATTCTTGAGAGGGATTCCCGTAAATTATCAAGCAGGATTATCAAACAGGATCAGGCTTCTCCCATACTACAGCCTCAGGGATTAGTCAAAGCCAGCTAAGAGCTATGGACCTGAGGCAGACAACTACAGGACCAAAGGGTAACTACAGTTTCCTGTCAGGTCAAGTGGCCAAAAGGGATCTAAGCCATGCTTTCAAACTCCCAGCCAACTCTACACTCTGTAAACCTGAAAAAACTCTTGGGCTTGGAGCCTGTGACCCTTGAAGGAGGGCCTCAGGTTCCTGATGAAAAGGTACAACTTGGCCCCGAGATCCCCCAGGGGCAGCTCTGGATGTAGACGTTCTCTCCCTTACTCTCTCTCAGGACAGTCCTAGATCCTTCCACCCCTGATCATTCCTTACTTACCCTTTCTCCCGTTCTTCCTCGGTGAGAAGGGGTAAGTGGTTATTTTGTGCCCTCGCCCAATTTGGCCAAAGCCCTAAAAGTAAAAATGATAGAGACAGACACGTGCTTTAAAATCCTGATATTCAAGCCTTATGCACTCCCACCACCTGCCCAAGGCTTCCAGGCGGAAGGCGGCGCGTCCCCACAGCGCTCCCTCACGGCCAGGGCTGGGGGTCGGAGTGGTCCCCTTTGTGGGGGACGAGGAGAGGGCGCGATCTGGGGGTGCCTGCTCGGCGGGGATGAGTGGGTCGCTCCGGGCTAGGCGTCGCTGTCGCTAGGCGCCGCTTTCCAACCCGAGTTAGCCCAAGGAAGAGGCAGGGGCGCCGCACGGGGCCTCAGATAAACACGCGCACGCACACATGCCGGCGATCACCACGGCACTCGCGGCCGAGCAGCCCTCCGCCTCCCGGCAACACCCGCCCCGCCAGGGGCCAATTCCCGGGGAAGGGGCCCGAACCCCGAGGACCTCCACGCGTCGGCGCCGCCCGTCAGCCCACCCTCTCAGAGCCCCCAACCCGCCGCCCAGCGCCCGCCCTCCGCACCCGCTGCGCAGCTCAGCCCGGGGGAAGTCCCCGCCAGGGCCCCGCCCTCTGTCGGCGGCACGCTCCGCCCCCGCGCCCCCCACCGCGCGGGAGCCGCGCGAAGCTCCGCCTCCTCGCTCGCCCCGCGGGCCCCCCCCACCCCCACCCCGAGTGCCCGACCGGGTTGGATCCAAAATCTGGCCCGGATTTGCAACGAATCAAAAATAACGCTCTTTCAGCGAGCAGTCATTCATTGAGCACTTACTCAAGCACAGGACCGTACTAATAGCTGAGAGGGCAGCAAAGAGCTGAAAATCTATGAAGCTGTGTCTTCAGCCCCTCCCCTTGTTTTACAGGTCAGGAAACGAGACTCAACAGTTACTTTCAGGCACACCTATAGTGTCAAAGAGCCTTACTAGCTCTCTCCCCTCTGGACTCCTCCTCACTGAGCTTTTTCTACTAAGGTGCCCAAAGGAAAACTATTCAACTTTTCTGCCTCTAGGCAAGCCAAAAGGAATAATCCAGAACAGATGGTTTACTTTGGAGAAACTGGAATTTGATACCTAAGCTTTTGCCTTCAAATGGTATAAACTCTTAACGGGGTTATTACAGCCTACGAAGAAAGTGGAACCTAGAACTACCGAACATATATTAAATACTCTTCTCTCTCTTCTTTTTTTTACCCTTCCCTCAATTATATCCCTTATCATGTCTGTCTTTATTGTCCTTCTGGATACTGACAAACTACTCAGTGCATTTTCAAATCGTTTAATACAAATGTAAATTCCAGATGCTCTGGTGCTTTCGGTTCAAAATTAATTCTAAAGTTTTAAGAATCTACTCAGAGACTTAAATGACCTGATAACTAGAACTCCTTGAGTCTTCTAAGGAGAATAAAATTGCTCTCCTGTGAAAGGGATAAGTGCCAGTTTTATACTTTTTTTTTATTTGTCACTGAAATAATTACTGTAGGGTAAGCTTTTTTCTGCCAATGCTTAAGGATTTAAATCCAAGAGCACTTAGCTGAGAGGACCACTCTCATCAAATAGCAGTGGAGACCTATGTGTAAATTGGACTGAGCTCTATTGGCACTGTGACCCCCACATTAAATAGATGGAGTTCCTGGCCACTTGTAGCTGACAGTCTAGAATGGAATGTTCAAAGATAAACAACAAAGACAGGTATGTGTGGATTTTATTATAATGGAAAGTGAATAAACACACAAAAAGAGTTATTAAGTCTGACCTGACTTTGTCACTAAGATTCATCAAATGTACTTAAAAAAAAAAAGCTGAGGTCATCTGAAAAGGCTAAATACTGTATGATTCCAACTATATTACATGCTGGAAAAGACAAAAGAATGGAGACAGTAAAAAGATCTCTGGTTGCCAGGAGTTAGGGAGGAGGGAGAGAATAGGAGGAGCACAGAGGATTTTTAGGGCAGTGAAAATATTCTGTATGATACTGTCAGGGCAATACATGTCATTATACCTTTGTCAAACTTCATACAATGTACAACACCAGGAGTAAACCCTGATGTAAACTACAGACTATGGGTGATAATGATGGTCAATGCCGGTTCATCAGCTGTTACAAATGTACCTCTTTCCTGCTGGGATACTTGGAGAAGCCATTCAAGTTTGGGGTCAGGGGATGTATGAGAACTCTGTACTTTCTGCTCAGTTTTCTGTAAACCTAAAACTGCTCTAAAACAAGTAGTATGTTAAAAAAAGAAGCTGGGGTAAAGCCTCTGAATGTCTCATTTTCTTCCAATCCTCAATTAAATTCTAAATTGCATATTTGGCTTTATGTGTGGAGTTGAAATATGATGAGTAGTATCCTTATATTGGAGGAGCCCTTTATGTGGCATTGATGTCACAGAGAGAAAATGAGTCATATACGCCTAAGGTAAAAATTAAATTATGGTTACACTTCATGTCTAATATTCAGGGAGATATTTAAGCAAAGTTAACTTGAAATAATTGTGTACAAATTCTGTCAATATATTTATATTTCAAATCTATTCCCATACATACATACTTACAATTAGTAAACAGATAGTGCAAGGTATCATAGAGGTTTTCAGACTTTCTGGTCTCAAGATCTCTTTACATTCTTAAAAATGATTGAAGACTTTTTTTTTAGAGATTGGCACCTGAGCTAACTGTTGCCAATCTTTTTTTTTTTCTCTTCTCCCCAAAACCCCCCAGTACATAGCTATATATTCTAGTTGTGAGTGCCTCTGGCAGTGGCATGTGGGATGCCGCCTCACCGTAGCCTGCCAAGCAGTGCCATGTCCACACCTGTGACCCAAACCAGCAAAACCCTGGGCCACACAAGCAGAGCACTCGAACTTAACCACTCGGCCACGGGGCGGCCCCAGTGATTGAAGACTTTAAAGAGCTTTTGTTTGTATGAGTTATATATGACCCTATTTACTGTGTTAAAAATTAAAACTGAGAAAAATTCTAGACATGTGTTTATCAAGTCATTTTTAAAATAATAAACCCTGTTACCTGTTACTATAAAGAACATTTTTTGAATAATGACTGTTTTTTTAAAAAATGTGTGGGAAAAGTGGCCTTTTTTTACATTTTTGCAAATCTCTTTAATATCAGGCTTTACAGAGACAGCTGGATTCTCATATTCTGCTTCTGCATTTACTCTGTTGAGACGTGTTGTTACAGCTAAGATTTGAAGAAAATCAGTCCTCGTACAAATTCAGTTGAAAAAGGGAAGATCTTGCGAACTCCCTAAAAAAGTCTTAGTAACCTCGAGGATCCTCAGACCTCACTTTGAGAACTGCTGCCAAAGAGCATTTTGCGTTTCTTTTGTTTGAATATCATGCGTTCCCACAGCAGAGTCTGCCAACACCTGAAGTTACAGCCCTTCACTTGTTCCAAGCTACAACTCAAATCTGACAGCTCGCATCAAACCATCTCAATTCTGAAAGTTTGTTCAAAGCTTTTACTGTAGCAACTCCGATGAAACTGATATTCTTATTTGAATATACATGAAAACATTTGAGATTTCATTTATATCCCTCATTTCAAACTTTCTGGGAAATTTTGAATATAAATTGTGCCATCTGGAAAAATGAAACATGGTATATAGTTATTAACCCAATTTTAAGTGTACTTACAATGAATGCGTGTCTCCTTTTATATAAATAATTTTAAAATGAGTTTAAAATAAAAGTAAAACAAGCAATTATAGTTTTATTTATTGAGTAAATAAATACCAGGTTCTAAAGCGACTGCCTTGAAATGAAATTTTAGATATATAAGCTTTCATTTTTACTACAAATAAAATAATGTAAGTCATACATTTTAGATTTTTAAATACAATTTCCAACTAAAAGAAACCAGGGCTGCTCAAGGAACGTCTGATTTCAGGTCTGGGGCAGGATACATACACGATGAGCATGGGATAGCTTGTGCCACAAAGCAAGAAATCCATTCACAACAAATGAGTATGTCAAAAGGTCACAGAAACCAAAACCAAAGGGTCTTTTGGCCAAAGATGGGACAATCTGAGCATCAGCAAATTAATGAATGCAGTTGTTTGAAACATATTGAATCTATAAAAATCCATGCTCCGAAGACATGATGCTCCAAAGGGAGGAAGCTAAAAACAAAAGCAAAAAAAATAGAACAATTCATTGGACACTTGCAAATAAATAGGGCACTAACTCCTTATTCTAAAATTTTCAATTAAAAGAAAAGAATTAGAACTTACATTGCCTTTCCTGTTTGAACTGTAGCTCAGAAAACCAAATACTTGTTGAGGGGAAGTTGTTTTTATAATAAATATGAAAGAAATAATAGACTTGGAAAAATCGCCATATAGCAATCCTTCGTTAAATAAATGATTTAGGCAACAATCATCAGTGGATGAAACCATTAGATGAAAAGTCCATAAGGTACCACGGGGGAGATCAGGGTGTCACTACCTCAACCTAATGATCTAAGTATTGCTACAAATGAGACTCCAGACATGTGTGCCTCTTGATCTACGGTCATTTGAAGCCCTTAGCACACCTATGAAAGTGTTGCCAAAACAAAACGAAAACAAAACCAGAATCTAATCAAGCCTTAGAACTGACTTCCCACTCAGAGGCTTACAGGAAACATGAGGGTTGGAGGAACAAGTTAAGTGACACCACAGAGAAGGAAATAGACAAATTTAGAAGGTGAGACACTCTCTAAAACAACTGACAGTCTCTGCATCAAGTTAGTAACAGGACAAAAAGGAGAGGGAGGAGGTGAGAAGAAGCTCTAGACTAAAGAGGTACAGCAACCAAATGAAAGGTAAGAACCTTGTTTGGGTTCTGATTCAAACATCACAGTAGTAAAAAGACTTTTAAGACAATCACAGATATTTCACTATGGACTAGTAGTAGACAATGCCAAAGAAATATTATTTTATTAAGTGTCGTAATTACGTTGTGTTTATTTAAGAAAATGTCCATCATCTTTGCAGAGATATTCTGAAGTATGTTGAAGTTAAATGATGTACTGAGATTTGCTTTAAAATACTTGAACTGAAAATAAAAAGGAAAAAAGGGATAGATGACATAAATGTGACAAAAGTGGATAATTATTGAATCTAAGTGATGAGTGTATGAGGGTTCATTGTACTTTTCCCTCTGCTTTTGTATATGTTTGAAATTTTTCATAATAAAAATTTTTAAATAAATATAAGTGACTGCTTTAGCCCCAATTTTCTAGAAAACAGTGCTTAAGAGAAAGTGCATGAGCTAAAATTGTATTGGGGTAGGGGGTGGCAGGTGCAGTCCTAGAAAAGCGAGAGTGAGGGGAGAGAGGGAGTGAGGTAAGGACAGAGGGAAGGAAAATACAGATGGTTTGTCACAAGCTGGCTAAGGCTTCACAGGATGTACAGTTGGCTGCTTGGTCCCAGGGGACGTCTCAAGAAGGCTGGATGAAACCACCACATAACAGAGCTGTCCTTCAGGAGGGGAACAGGCAAGCAATTTTTTTCTCCTGGCTTCTTCCTGCCTTCTGTCTCTCATTCATCTATGTTTGTTTCACAAAGCAGGGCAAGTGGGTGGACAGAAAAGCTGGGGGGCAGGAGTGTGGAAAATGGGGAGGCAGATAACTGGCTCTCGTAAAGTGACTTGATTTATTCTGGCGACGAAAATAATCCATAACCAATCTATAAATGAAAATTTGGGTGAGTTTATTCTGAGCTGAAATCTGAGGACCATGGCCCGGGGCCTTTCTTCCCGAAGGAAGACAGGGCACCAAAGAAGTGAGGTATACAGAGTGGTTATATACCCCCATACAGGACGTTTCACATATGATTGACATGTCCCCCCACAATAGTCACAAGATTGCCCTGTCAGCACAGCGCTTGATGGACACAGCAGGTAGTGGGTCGGCTCTCTTGGAGGGCATAGGAGGCAAGTCTATTGTCTTGAGCTGGGTGGTCACAGGTGAGCACAGCAATCAGTTTCTAGCCTAAGGAAAGATGCTTAATCCTTAAAGAAATGCCAACGTTGTGAGGGGGAGGGATGTTGCACCTTTATCTCAAGGGCCTTTGCTCTTGCCATAGGGAGTTTCTAAAGCAGATATACAATGCATGCTCAACGGCCTCCGTCAGGCCCTTTTGGAAAGACAAGGTCAGGCCAAATTAGGTTTACACAAAATGGCTTCCTCATATACTCCAATATATCCTATTACTTGGCATTTTTATATGTCAATTCTAACAATTTAGAATTTGAACCAAGCAATGACTTTTTGATTTAGTGAAGACTTACCTTTTAGTTTAAGCTCATTTTTAGTGGAATAATCATTCTGATTGATCTTCCTTTTACCTGAAGGAAAAATTTATTCAGTCCAGAGTCAGTTTTTTTTTTGGTTAACAAAATCACAAGCACACAAATGGCTGCAGAAACTCAATGTAAGGGAACGACTCTACCACGGCCACATTCCCCACACAGGCCAGGCAAGCAAGGCCTAACCGTGGCTGATCTCAGTCTTGGTAGAACACCCTTTGATCCTCCCATAACCCAAAATCCTGGCAGTTTGTGAGGAGCTGCTGCCAGGCGTTTCTCTTTTACTTCCCTATCTCTCAGGAGGGCTGTCATAAGACAGTTTCTCTTTGCCTGCTGGTTCTGATGAGGTGTGAAACTTTCTACTACACCCTCCTTAGGGTGTAACTGCAGGCTATAAATCAGCTAACCTGAAGCACAGCGTTGGCTCTCAGCAAGAGTGTCCTATCATCCATGTTGCAGTAATCTGTGCCCTTTTGTCTCGGTGTCACCCTGTGTAAGAGATATGGGGAGCTGGCACCTTCGGTTAGTCTTGCTTTTGCTGTCTAAGTAATAAGCTGTTTGAATCTAAAAACATGGCTAATTTTCTCTTTACTGTCCAAATCTCAGCCTTGCCTTGCCAAATTCTAAGCAGGAAATTTTGACTTTGTTTAACCTTAAAGAGAGTCTTTACTCTGTTTCTTAGTCAACCTACAGTGTGGAGAGTCAGCACCTATACAAAAAATGACCAGAAGATATGACTAACTTAGATTCACATTTTCAGAAAGAGTGTTTATTTATTCTCTCAGTGTTGTAGGATAATTTTTGACCAACAATCAAAGAATCCTTCCTTCTCTTTGCCTTTCCTCTAAATCAATTAATAGAATATTTGTACAAGTCAGGTAAAGATTCAGACCTCCTGAAATATAAAAATCAATTAGAAGAGTTTTCCCAAAAGTCCCTATATTTTCTACTCATGGTTTGACATCATCCATGTTGGGTTTCAAAGGTCTGGTAACTACTAGAATAAGAGAGAAGCATCAAAAATCAAGCTCCATGGATATGCCCTACTCACTCATTCACAGGTAGATGACCTGCCTCCCTTTTTTATACACAAGATGATTGACAATGATGCCATCCAGTTAAGACTTTGTCTTTCTTATCTGGTACACTGAGAGGCTGGGTTCCTCTGTTCTCTTAGAGACGTATAATAAGCAGCAAACAGAAAAACGACAGGTGACAGTACAAAATATAAAGACTAAAGAATAGCTCATCTTTTTCATTTTTTTCCCTTACCATACCTTATATGAATCATCTCTTGGGAATGGAACTGCCTAAAGCTTACTAAATGATTATCTCCTATCCACAGTTGACCAAATCCTTCGATTCATGAAGAAGGAAACAGTTACATGGAGGACCCTGGCCTGCCTCATATTTTGTCTAAAGATTTCCTGGAACTCTAAAATAGTAAAATTCGCAGTTCTTTTCATTGGCTTTTGATTGACAATCCTGCCATATCTGAAGGAATTGCTTAAATTCTCTCATGATTTAGCCAGATAATAATTACAAACCTCAATCCATAATAACTACTTGTGGGAGAAACAACTCAAAATAAAACTGCACATAGTAAAAAAGTGTTAAAATGAAAAAAAAACAAGATTCATATCTTGTAGATAACTCTGAAACCTGAAAACACTGAATTCATAGATTTAGCAGGAAAAATCGATACAAAATTCTGCGGTAATGGCTAAAACTGCACATGATTAAAATGTATAATTAAGAAATTCTCTGCTTTCCTTCATCTGAGAATGTCTTTATTTCCCTCCCCCCCCCCCCCCATTCCAGAAGGATATTTTCACCAGATGTAGGATTGACAATTCTTTTCTTTCAGTATTTGAAAAATCTTATGCCACTTCCTTCTGGCCTCCATTGTTGCCGGACGAGAAATCTGCTCTCATTCAAATTGTTTTAGTCCTTTATAAGTAATGTGGTGTTTCTTGCTGACTGCTTTCAAAACTTTTTTTTTTGTCTTTAGTTTTCTGAAGTATTGAGATATCTTATTGTTTTATTATTTTTTTGCTGCTGTTTCCTACTTAGGGTTTGCTCAACCTCTTAAATCTGTATGGTTATGTCTTTCACCATGTTTGGGAAGTTAACTATTATTTCTTCAAATACTTTCTAAGTCTCACATTCTTTCTCCTCTCCTACTGGGACTCCAATGATACAAATGTAAGCTCTTTTGTTATTGTCCACAGGTTCCTAAGACTCTGTTCATTTTTTTGGTCCAGTCTATTTTCTCCTGTTGTTCAGGTTGGATCAAGTCTATTGCTCTGTCCTCAAGTTCACCAACTCTATTGGTAGTTTCTCTACCCTACAGTTGAATCCATTCAGCCAGTTTTTTATTTTGTTATTGTCTTTTTTAGTTCTACAATTTCCATTTAGTTCTTTCTTATAACTTTTCTTTGCTGAGATTTTCTACTTTTTTTGTTCGTATCAAGAGAATTCATAATTGTTAGTTGAAGCATTTTTATGATATCTGCTTTAAAATCCATGTCAGATCATTCCAACATCAGATTCATCTTGGTTTTGGCATCTGTTGATTTTCTTTTCTCATTAAAGTTGTGATTTCCCTAGTTCTTTGTGTGATGGGTAATGTTCAATTATATCCTGGCATTGTGGCTATTATGTTATAAGACTCTGGATCTCATTTAATCTTCTTTTTTAAACAGGCAGTCCCCCTGTTGAGACATAGCAGGAGGGCCAGGGGATTTTGTTTGTTCAGCCTCCCACTGAGCCCCACCAACACCACCCAGGCAAAAGTGGACAATTCACTCACTCACTCTGCCCAGATGTCAGCAGGTGAGGTTGATACCTTCCCAGTGGAAGTAAGGCACTCACACCACCTCGATGCCTCTGAGTGGGGGTGCCACCAGGGAGGGGAGAAGCAGACAGCTGATATGCACCATTTCATTGCTGTAGGATTGGGGTGGAATTTCAGCTCTTAATTCTGCACTGGGCCTCGCTGACACCAGGGGAGGGGAGGGAAGTAAACAGTGTCAACTGGCCCTTCCTCTAGGAGTAGAGGCTTAGCAACCCACTGGGCCCTGCTAGCATGGGGTGTGGGGGCTGGGGGAGGAAGTGGAGTGCTGACTAGACTTTAGTTATACCTCCTTGTTCAGTCTTGTTGATGCTGGGCAGGGATGGAGGCTTAGCTCCCTGCTGGGCCCCAAGGACCATGGAGGTGGGGTGGGGGATGGGTGGGAACTGAGGCATAGTTGTGACAAATCCACATCTTACTGCCTCATTAAGTCTAGTTGCTGCCAGTTGTGGATGTACAGCTCATTGGACCCTGCTGACACTATCCTGGTGAGGAATTGAGGAAGACCTGCTTCTGCCAGACAGGGGATGGAAGAGCAGCAACCCCCTCAACCAGTCAACACCAACCTGGGTGGAATCAAAGTGCTGCTGTCTGTTTCCAGTGAGTGGGGTGGAAAAACAGCTCCCCGCTTGGCCCCAGTGAAATGTCAAGGGAGGGAGGGGTACAGTTTTTCCATTGGTGTTTGCTAGAGTAGGGCAGGTACTACCAAAAAGTTTTGGCTAAATAGGGTTTTCTTAGAGCTTTTTTTGCATGTCTGTTGGTGCTTCCAGGTTGGAAGCTTCTACAGGGTCCTGTCCAGGATACATGGGAGGTAACAAGGAAACCCAGGGAACCCCTTGCAGTGTTGGTCCTCAAGTCCCAAGGTACCTGAGGAGTCACCTTCTTTTGAACTTCAGAGTCTTTCCATGCATGTTTGTTGAACTATGCCCAGGGTTTTTAGTTCTAAGAAGGAGGACCTGGGAGGAATGAGGCAACTTCAATTTGGTCTTCACCAAAAGTCCTCTTTGTAAATACCTTAGAAAAAGAAATGCCAGGAAGATATGAATTGTTGTGGAATATTCCAACATGAAATCAAAAATTGATCTAAAATCAGAAGTATCGAAAGCAATATCAATTTCCAAAATCAAGGTAAGCAGATGAAATAAAACAAATAAATGTGCTTATATGAAGCTATGCATGCTATAATATTCAACTTCAAGATGCTTTTGCACACACTCTTAACAATTCAACAAATGTCAACACAAAATAAAAGAAAATTTTCTACATCTAGAATATTTGTTACAAAACACAGATCAGGACTATCAGATAGGGCAATTTATGCATTGTATATTTAAAATGTTTTTTTTTTAAGAATGATAACTTTTACATATTTTGTTGCTACCTTTCAAGTTTTTTAATCCGTTTTACTTGATATTTATTTAGTGTTAACTTTCTTTTCTTTTAATTTTTTCTATTATCAGAGATCATTTTTACATGTTATTGAAATACATGCTCTTGTAACTTACATTTATTGTTTTGTATTCACTTTTATAGAAAAACTTCTAAAAACTTTTAGTATAACCCTATCATCAAAAAATGATACACTGCTTACTATTATGGTCACTCATTTTATTTAAAAACACATAAGTACAACAAAAAATACATAATAACTTATGATTTGCGAATTCCTGGGAATTCCTATTTTTTTCCTGAATCATGAAGATATCTGTTGGGAATTTGAAAACACTATAAAAATGCAAATGCTGTGACTGATTGCCTTATTAGCAAAGTCTATTCTTTTTTCTTTTTCAATGATGAAGCCTTAATCAAAATTTTTTCTCTCTCCAACTCTCTCCAAACTTACTTGGTCATTCTAGGCACTCTGACGCAGGGAAATCACAATGTAGGGTTAAACAACCTGAGAACGTTCAGCCTATGGAAGAAACGCCTTAGGTGAGCATTTGGTAACTATCTTCATAACCTTCAAGGGCAGTCCTGAACAAGAGGGATTGCATTTATTCTGTGTGACCCAAGAGGATAGAATTAGGATAAATGAGATGGAGTTACAGGGAAGAAAATTTTGATTTCATATATATATCCATTTTCTAGCAAGGCGAGAACCCTGAAAAGAGATCAGATTGCCTCAAGAAATAGTGATTTCCTGTCAAGGAAAAAAGCTGGACAGCCTCTTATTGGGAATGTTATCAAGGCGGCCCTTAAGAATTTATGATTCTTGGGGGCTGGCCCCGTGGCCGAGTGGTTAAGTTCGCGCGCTCCGCTGCAGGCGGCCCAGTGTTTCGTTGGTTCGAATCCTGGGCGCGGACATGGCACTGCTCATCAAGCCACGCTGAGGCGGCATCCCACATGCCACAACTAGGTGGACCCACAACGAAGAATATACAACTATGTACCAGGGGGCATGGGGGAGAAAAAGGAAAAAAATTAAATCTTTAAAAAAAAAAAAAGAATTTATGATTCTTTCTATCTCTATTATCTCATTTTATTCTCCTAGTGAGATACATAGAACAAGTATTAAAATTGCCATTTATGGATGAGAATAATGAAATTCAGAGAGGGTATTGGTTGGGATATTTCTAAATTATAAAAGCAACTTGAGCTAGCCTAAGCAAAAATGAAAGACAATATAAGATTAAGTGGTATTTCATAGAACCTAAGGCTACTGCAAGCAGCTGGGCTCCAAAATGGGACAGAAGCCATCAGAACTCTCTCCAGATCGTGACTCTGCTTCTCTCTATAAATTGCTTTGTTCTTTATCTCTACAGATGTATTTTCTGTACTTCCCAGCCACATGATAGGTGGAAGATATTTACGCCAAAGCTCCCTAATTTACATCTCTATCATTCAAAAGACCAGCCCCAAATGATGGGCTGCCTCAATTATTTTGGGCTTTATGGTGCCAATTCATCATATCATTCTCCCTTCTGATTCCTAAGTCAACTGATAAATAACCACAGTAAAAGTGGATTGGAGAATGTGACTTGGACTTGGGGCAAAAATGGAATTTTCTACAACTTTTTGCTTGAATTGAACTCACTCAGTCACAGGCAGATTATCAAGCAATGGCATTTCTTCCATCTCAGGAGCAGGCCTGACCTGGTGAGCGTATCATATGGGAAAGGCATCTAGAAAGTGAGCACACTCCACTTGCACACATACAAGAAGAGAAAAAAAAGCCTGGTCAGAACATGTGCAATGACCCTTTTCCCAAACTCACCAATTACATAAGTCACTCCACCAAATTTCACGGGGGTGAGAGGTTGAAGGGTGGAGAGAAGGGCAGAAATTTTTTCCATAATATTTCCAAGAGAATAAGAATTTCATATGATGAACTAAGGCAGGGATGTGGAGATGGGAAGAGAATAGCCTTCCTGCAATTACCAATTTCTATGTCTGGACATAGAAAAACTAATTGGCCCCTTTGAACCAGGTGTTCATCTAGATCCAATCAATTATGGCTCTAGCAGAGTCACTCAAGGGAAAATCATGGCTGCCAGGGGATCACCATTATGGATGGGAGAGGCAATTCCTAGAAAAAGATGGCTAGATAGGTATCCCAAAAAGTGTATTCAGAAAACACACTTCTATCCCTATATTACAAAGATATTCTTTTTTTTCTTTTTCTTTTTTTTAGGAAGATTATCCCTGAGCTAACATGTGCTGCCAATCCTCCTCTTTTTTCTGAGGAAGACTGGCCCTGAACTAACATCCGTGCCCATCTTCCTCCACTTTATATGTGGGATGCCTACTACAGTATGGCTTGCCAAGCAGTGCCATGTCTGCAACCAGGATCCGGACTGGCGAACCCAGGGCCGCCGAAGTGAAATGTGCACACTTAACCATTGCACCACTGGGCCAAACCCTACAAAGATATTCTTGATATTAAGGTCCAACTACCCCATGTTCAAATGCAAATACACATACATACCCACTCATATATGCTGTGCAGTGAAGGGATTACCCAGAGTAATGGATGGATGATCCATTACACACAAAAGCAATGTCTTGGAGCCACTGCTCTTCTTGTATACAATTTCCAGGTGACGTCCACTTCCTCGTCTAATCCAGTTTTAATTTAGTCCTCATATTCTTATGATTTATGGATTACATTACAAATTTAACCACTCCTGGTATATCTAGTATACAGTGCTGGAGGGAAATACCCATGTAGAGAGGTAACAAAAGGAGAAAAAACACACAACGGTCACTCATTCAGAACATATGGTTTATTCTGCTAGGCAGTGACTTGCATGGGCATAATTTTGACTTAATCCTTTGGAAAATTTCTCAGGGATCCAATAGTGAACTTCCAGTTGGTGTTACTATCTTTTGGATTGAATCTGAAGATTTCCTAAGAGCTGAGTCTCCATTCCCTTCTGGTTTGAGTAAAAGGCGTGGACCCCTTTTACCAGGTTTAGTTTTTTTATTGGTGCTTCAACTCCTATAAAGCCTCATTGGCTGGCTATCACATTCATTTTGGATTCCCTTCTCTAAAATCCAACATCACAAATCTTGTTAGGTCATGCTCTGAAAATTTTCAACCTTCTGAACTGAATAGCCTAGATTTAACCACTCCACTCAGGCCTCTGTTTTTGAAGCAACTTTGAAGGTTCTACCATCCCTACAGCCCTCCAGAACATGGCCTGAGGTGAGGCAGCCAGAAGAGCAGAATCTCCTTTTTCTAAGCAGCTATGGTATGTTGTCCTTATTCTCCTATTTTATCTAGTGAGAGGTACTTTGGAAGGATAGGGGTGAGGAGGTGGGGATATGGTCACTGTTCCCCAGCTTTTCTGTTTCCTCCAGGATATCTCCATTCTTCTTTCCAGGGTACTGTACTTTCCCAGTTAGGACGTTTATCTTATCCACAAAAAAGGCAGTCAGGTCAGGACTTGACTACTGCAATTCACTCCTTCCTGATTTACTTCCTCATCTGAACCTCAGCAATCTATTTGGAAGCTCAGATTTTCTCTATGTACTTCCAGTCATGCAAATTCAACTTGATTTTTTTCTTTTGCTGCACTGTTCACTGACAGCTGAAAAAGAGGGAGACGTATACTAGTATTTTCTACTAAGGCCCCTGATGGCTTGGTGGACAATGGTCTGAGTTGTAGGACACAATAAACAAATTTAACTCATTTCTCAACACTGCACAAAGATTGATAAATTTCTATGCTCAAATTGGGAGTTGAGCTTTCTCCCTGCCCCTCACCCTGCCTTGACTTCACCAATTCCACTTTTCCTAATTAAGAATCGCTTATTCAAAACCCTGCCTCTGACACTAATTTTGCATTACAGAGGAGTCTTTGTTGTCCCTAATCATATGTAACAAAAAAAAACTATCTCGAGCCAGCCTAAGCAAGAAAATGATTTAAGAAGATAACAGAGCAGTCAAGCTTAAGGAAGGAGCTGAACCCAGTCTTTCTTTATCTCTCCTATCTTCTTCTTTTGCATATTTGCTTTATTTTTCTTTCCCTGAAGACAGGCTTTCAGGCCCGCCCGGTGGCATAGCAGTTAGTTCACGTGCTCTGCTTTGGCAGCCTGGAGTTTGCAGGCTCGGATCTTCACACACACACACACACACACACACTCACACACACACAAAAGACAGTCTTTCTCTGCTTCTCAGTCCACGTACCAGGTAAATCATGGCCACTCAGCAGCTCCCAAGTTTATACTTCCTTTATTTGAGAGACCAAGAATGGTCTGCTAAAATCAAGTTTCCATTCAGGTGTATCCAGGGAGAAAATCTGACTGGCCCAGGTTGTCCTTCTAGTGAACCTTGATCAGTGGAGTCTGCCCAACATCCAAACATCTTTCTAATTATAGAGAATCTCAAGTTAGGTGGGCGGATATTCCCACTCCCAGGTCTTTGGCTCCTGGAACAAAGACATGTGAACTAAGCTCAGCCAATCTCCTGCTCTTGTCTGGAACTTGGAATCAGGAGTAAGTGATACAAACAATTTGGATTTTTCTTTCTATAGCTGTGGCACCAATGGCCTTGGCATCTAGTTCCCATGGCAGTTGTGCCAGTGGCAACTTTCAGTGTGTGGCGATGCAGTGATGACTGCTTGGCAATGACAGCAGTCACATCCTAACCAGATTCTTTCTGCAGCATGACTTTGGCTGGCCTGTGTCCTGGTCTCCCTTGGTCATTGCTCTTTTTTGTGTGTGTGTGAGGAATATTGGCCCTGAGCGAACATCTGTAGCCAATCTTCCTCTATTGTATGTGACAGGCCACCACAGCTTGGCTTGACAAGCGCTGCTAGGTCCACATCCAGGATCTGAACCTGTGAACCCCAGGCGACCAAAGTGGAGCACACGAACTTCACCACTACGTCACCAGGCCAGCCCTCATTGCTCATTTTTTTCCATGCCCAATTCTTCAGGTCTTCTCACGGATTCTGTGAGCACTCCTAAATTCTTGCAATATTATTCTTTCTTCTTAAATATTCCAGAGTTATTTTTTGTTGGCTACAACTAAGACCTTACCTGTCTTGCAATCAGCAGTGCCGGTTGGACAGGCCCTTGTAGAGGCAAACTGATTGTCAGAGATCCATCACTACGAATAGAAAGAGCAATTCCAGGGGAAGAGAGGATGGACAAATAACCCCAAACAAATGTCTTTTTGCATAGATATTCAGCGAGTTGCCCAAGACCATAGACAAGATTAATATCAGAACTTTAAAAAGAACCTAGGGACCGGATCCGTGGCCAAGAGTTTAAGTTCGCGCACTCCATTTTGGCGGCTCAGGGTTTCACTGGTTCAGATCCTGGGTACGGACATGGCACCGCTCATCAAGCCATGCTGAGGTGGCATCCCACGCAGCACAACCAGAAGGACTTACAACTAGAATCTACAACTATGTATGCGGGGCTTTGGGGAGAAGAAGAAGAAAAGGAAAAAAAAGAAGATGGGCAAGAGATGTTAGCGCAGGTGCCAATCTTTAAAAAAAGAAAGAAGCTATATGTCTTAGCAATCAACATTGGGATTATTCTTTTGTCTTCAGGATTAATTTTAACTTGTGAATTAATAATTAATGGAGAGACCTAAGGTTATGAATGGAAAGGCCAACATAAGCATTTCAGAAAGTTGACAATTTGCTATTCCACCAGATGTACAAATCAATTTAGACAAAAAAGCTGAATTCAGTTAAACAACTACGTTCTTTCAAAATAACTGGTTACTTAGTTAAACTTTACTACAGTTGTCCCTCATTATCTGGCGGTGGGTGGTGATTCTAGGACCCCCCTCCCCCTTGCATACCAGGAACCCTCATGGATACCA